ACAAAATACCTCCTATTTGTATTTGGATTTGTATAATTTAGTTCAAATAGGAAAGTAAAATTCCAATCCAAAGTTGGATAGAAAAGCAAAAGAGGAAATCTTACCATCCAAAGTTGGAGAGGAAAGGAAGAAAAAAAAGAAGGAAAGTTGGATACTTCAATTCCCACTTGAAAAAAGAGACCAAGTCCTGTCAAACTTGGGACTTGAAGTGGGGGTAATTTGTAAACACTAAAAATTTAGTGGGTTTTGGTTTTGACAAATTGACCCATTTGGGCTTAATGTTTAATTAAGTTATTTAATTGGCCCAAGTTTAGTCCAATTAAATTATTTAATTAGCCCAACCTAGATAGTTAAATAAATAGATAATTATTCCTAATAAAATATATTTGGAATAATTATTTTTAAGAATAATTATCATAATATAACCAGTCCGGCCAGTTATAATTTTATTCTTATCAAGAGATGACATGTGTCATCATCCTATCAACCCAAGAAACCTATAAATAGAGGCCTGGGGAAGAAGGAGGGGGACAAATTCAGAGTCCAGAAATCCAGAGACTCAGAAGTTTAGAAGGTCCAGAAATTGAGAGAATCAGAAATCCAAAGGGCCAGAAATCCCGAGGGCAAACTTGAAGGCGAAGAACACCAGACATATCCAAAGTCGTGCCGTTCTTCACCAAATTCAACAAATTCTCTTCTCTCTTAAGACGAAGAACAACAAACACATCCAAAGATGTGTCGTTCTTCCTCAAATTCAACAAAGGATACAAATTCAGAATTCAGAAGTCTAGAAATTCAGACACAAATTCAGAATTCAGAAGTCCAGAGACTCAGAAATCCAGAGACTCAGAAGTCAGAGACACAAATTCAGAATTCAAAAGTCCAGAGACTCAGAAATCCAGAGACTCAGAAGTCAGAGACACAAATTCAGAATCCAAACTCAAAAGCGAAGAATATCAAGCATATCCAACAACATGCCGCTCTTCATCAAATCTCACGGTGATCAATAACAAGCACATTCAATGACGTGCCATTCTTCATCAAATTCCACCGTGATACAAGATTAAGCTCGTGCAGCCCTTGGATCTAACCAACCAAAAAGGAGATCGAATTAGAGGACCATTCTTTTTGTAAAAGATATCACAGAGGATTGTACCCCAAATATTTCTGATTTAATAAGTTATTATTTTACCTATATTTTGTCTTTATTGCAAAGTACAAAATTTGTGTGTACAGCGCGCAACTAAACAGAATATATGTACACACAATAGATGTCAGATACACTAAATCAAAACATTAATGTAAAATAACAGTGATAAAAATAATTACTAAATCAAAACATTAATGTAAAATAACAGTGATAAAAATAATTACCAAGCTTCTACAATATGGCAATTAGACTAGATGTAACTATTTTGAAGGTGGTTGTATAGGGCGTGTTTGGGAAGTGTTCCCATCTGTTTTGTAATGTTTCAGGCCGGCTACAGTAATCCATTTTGAGAATAAAACATGTTCAGGCTGGCTTGTTTTGTTTTCAACAGTACCAGAACCCTTCAGATTTTTGGGCCCAAAATTGAAACACCATTTAGGTGTTCTCATTTGTTCCGAGTTTATTTGGGCTACAAAAGTGATTGTAGTGGAAGGAACAAATTTTTACAATCCAGCACAGGTATAAAGGAAAGTTCGAACAAAATACTAGGATTTTGATCTGCGCTTTGGTGTGGTGATTTGAGGCGATATCAGTGGCGATTACAGAGGCGATTTCAGAGGCAATTCCACCGATCCTGTTGACCTAGCTCTCTATACTTGTGTTCTTTGGACTCCACGGCGCAGCATGTTCAGGCTGGCTTGTTTTGTTTTCAACAGTACCAGAACCCTTCAGATTTTTGGGCCCAAAATTGAAACACCATTTAGGTGTTCTCATTTGTTCCGAGTTTATTTGGGCTACAAAAGTGATTGTAGTGGAAGGAACAAATTTTTACAATCCAGCACAGGTATAAAGGAAAGTTCGAACAAAATACTAGGATTTTGTTCTGCGCTTTGGTGTGGTGATTTGAGGCGATATCAGTGGCGATTCCAGAGGCGATTTCAGAGGCAATTCCACCGATCCTGTTGACCTAGCTCTCTATACTTGTGTTCTTTGGACTCCACGGCGCAGATCCGAGGAGTTGGGAAACCCTAGCTCTTCATCTGAACAACGCAACAGGAAGCTCTTTTTCTTTATCTACTCCGATCATCACCAATCTCTCTCTTTCATCATTCGCAGGTCTGCTCTCTTCTTCTCCAATGGGAAGTTTCTCTAGATTGATTCATCATCTTCGATATGTGTCTTTGTGTGTAAAAGAGAACAACCAAATGATTGTGTTTGTGTGATTTTATATTGATCTCATTGTTTGTCTGTGTGTGTGATTTTGGTTTTAATAGCCCTCTACTAATTACAGACTGATGAAAAAAATGAGGATTAGAAAAAAAAAAAAATTACAAACAAACCATTTTTGGAGCTCTTATTTTTCTTCTCCCTGCAGTCCTTTTATAAATTTCTAGACGGGGTTAGTGAATTCACATTCAAAAAACTAGTTTTTTATGTCCCTGTTTTGATTTTTGTTAGCATATCTCTTAATAGATGCTATGATTGACGAAAAATTACTAGTTTTATGTGCCTGTTTTGATTTTTGTTAGCATTCTCTAAAGTGCCGTCCACACAATGTTCATAGTATATATTAGAAATTGCTGAAACTTCATTATATCTTGGTTGCACAGAAAAAAACCACAATAATGTTCGCACTTGTTACCTTATATTAAGTGTATACTACTGCTCATAACCTATATAACACTGAATTTGACAAATTGCTTAAGCTGTTTTGGTGACATGCTTGCAAATAGATAACACTTTTTTAAAGGGCAGTTATGAAACAAAACAGTTATTCAAGACTTTATTGATAATATTTGTTCAATTTCTAATTACTGTGAATACAATTATATATATCTTAATAAACCCAAAGTTCTGCTACTTAATTTCTAATTTTCGTTTACTTAATTTGTCAAATAGTCCCAATGGTGCTTGATTTGTATTATGTGAATTACATCTAATTACATAATTTGTCTAGTTGATGATTCATGGAATTAAAATTGTTTAAATTGAGTGATAGTTAGAATTTTTGGAATACAAAAGGAATGTTTAGAGAGATAGAGCAACACAGAATATTTTTAATCAATATTTTTGTACCTGATTTACATGTTTACAATTTTGATTAATGTATGGGAACAATGATGAATGTATAGCAAGCCTTGCTATACATAATTCTCTGTGGAATATTTTGTGCATCTGAAAAATCTCGAGCTATAAATTTTATTTCATGGTAAGGTCTTAGATACTATGTGGAATTTGCCAAATTAGCATGCAAAATATATTAATTATGTTTTGATAAATTTAGTAATCAGTCATAGAGAAATTGCATTATTTTTCATAAATATAATCAACCAATATACAAAGTTAATGTATAAGGTATTTGGCCAGATTTATATAGCATTATTTTCTATTGGAATGGGAGTAGTTCCTTAGGTGATAATGCATGAGGTATTTGAATAACCTTCAAATTCCTCATTTCTAAGTACTTCTTTGTGACATTTGACTATGGATTTAAAATTTTTCATGGCTTAATTAATAAGTGCATTCCATTATAGTAATCTTGCAAAGTAGTACCAGAAGCCAAAAGAAAAACATTAGAAGAAATTCAGGCATCCATCAATACATTCTCAGCATCAACAGTTTTTTTTGGTCTTTTCTTTTTGTCTTTATAAGTTCACTAATGCTAGTGTGTTATTGTATATATTTGTTGCTCTTTGGAGTGGAATGCACTTGTTTGGAGTGGATTGCACTTGTGCTTCTATATTGAAGTCTACCAACGCCAACGATGATGTTGTTGACAAATATTGGAAATGAGTGGACGATTGTTTCCTTCAGTAATGCTGGACTTGGAAGAGATCGGACAACTTTGAATTTTTTTTCAGTTTGCCTCTTGTAATAAATAGTTAATTCAAGATCTATGTATAGAGAGATGGGACAACTTTGTGTACAATTTTAATATTGGTTGGATTGTTAATTATAGAAAATTTGTATATTCAAGTATGAAATGAATTTGAATTGGTATATGGTTCATTATACACACGATCAATATTGTAAATGCTTTCAATTTTTAATGGAATGGTATAGAATGATTTTTAATGGAATCATGTTCATCATTATTCAAAGGTTTTGTATAGAAATGATATCAATTTAAATGGAATTACATGTTTCCATATTGTCAATGATTGTTATACACAATTTATATTGTCACTAATTTTTTCTACCATGTTTCTATTTCAAAATTTTCAATGCAAATTTTCGTCGCCAAACATGTTTTGTTCTCATCTCAGAACACCACATTACAAAACACTTTTTCTGTTCTAGGCTAAAACAAAACACTACAAAACACAACATTTTCCAAATGGGCCCATACTAACAGTTGCAACTATTCAGATGGTAGCTATAGACTAAAAGTTGCAACTATTCATTTTTGATTTTGCAACTTTTGGAAGTCTATAAATAATGATAGTACGCTACATATTCTATAATTCGCTTCCTTATTATGTTCCCCCATTCTTCCTACCCAGTCATCTTTATAATTGTTTCAATTGTGTTTATGGGATCCCTTCAATATTGCTAGCCGCAAGAATTTTGTTGTATCCACTACAAGAAAAACAGTTTTTGACCATATACTTTTTACCAAGGTTTTAAAAAAACCATGGAAGAAGACCTTTTCTAACACGGTTTTAAAATTACCGTAATAGAAAATATATTTTTTACCACGACTATTTTAAAACCATGGTAGAAGACCCTTTCTACCACGGTTAATGGATAACCGTGATAAAAAATGATCTTTCTATCACGGTTCTTTGAGAACTGTGATAAAAAGCTAGCCCTTTGTACCACGGTTCATACGGAACCGTGGGAGAAAGCGAATTTATATTGGAGGGTGGTATTCCCGCTTATATTTTCAATGCTTGCCCTGTCCAAAAAAATAAAAAATAAAAATAATATATTCACCAAATCATTGCTTTTCCACACAAAGAAACCCACCAAGACAACCACTACTGCCTCTGATCCACATCTATTTCAATTCTAAGTCGGCGAACTCTCCAAGCCATGACCGCCACTGGGCATCTACAGAGCAAATGATCCACAGTAAACAAATCCAGATAGCCATAAAAAAAAAAAAACACACACTGACACACACACACTACCGGTCGGATCGAAGCCCTAACCTGTGAAAATGTTTTTCCCTCTTTCCATCAAGCCTCTTTCAGTTGGCCATCAGAGCAAACCCTAACCCCTAAAGAAGAAACCCTAAGTCTGGAATCCTCCATTAGAGACACGAAGGTGTGTTCGGCGATTTGCAGACGACCGCTGCTGTTAGGTTTGTTTCCAATCTATTTCTCTCCGTATTTATACACGTGTATATATATATATATATATATATATGCGTGTTTGTTCGCAAAACTTACTCGGTCGATTAAAATCGATACATTAATTTTTATTCTTATTCTTCTCACTCCCTGACCCTCTTGAAGCAAGCCCTAAGCCCAAATAACTTAGAGTTCAACTCAGAGTCTCAAATCCTCCATTGGAGTAGAATAGAAGTGGTAGAAATCACTGTGTTCTAATGCATTATCATTCTTTGCCGTCTGATTCCCCTAGCAAAAGGTAACCCTAATAATTTAGGTATCCCAGATGTATATTAAACTATTGATAGAAAGGAAATTAATTTCACTTGTATTAACACTTCCATTATGTCCCATGAGGTTGTTTATTTTCTTGTGTGTGTTTTTTATATTTCGTTATGTGATGTTGGTTGCTTTGGAAAGTAAGATTTGGGGTTGTGAACCTTTAGAACACTTCTTTCTTGTTTGTTAATTGAAGTGTCGGATTTTTATGTCTTAAATTAATTCCTGAGTTAGAGATGGTCTATATTTAATTCTCCATTTTATATCCTCTCAGTGAGAATTGGGATTGTGAACCTTTAAGACACTTCCTTTTTTTACACCATTGTGATACCATAAAATTAATATGCTACATTTTAAAGCACAATTTCCTATATATTTCTCATTCAATTGGTTTTGTGTACATCAATCACACTACGCTCCAAAAGCACATTTCTATGCACATTTCATTTTGTAAGATGAAGATGAAGATAATGATGATGAAGATTGATCCACTGAACAATTAATTCAGGCTTTTATCCATGATTCTATATTTTCTGAATTTCGTGAAACAAAATAAATGTCAAGTCTATCTGCAACCAAAAAATAGAATCCTTAATGAAGGTTAGTTGTGATTTTCCCTTCACATTTTTGGTGAAATTATTAATTTCTTATAGTAACTATAAAACATGATTTTCTCAGTTAATTATCCAGTGCTAGCGCAGTTCTTATCAAAAAAAAAAAGAGTAAGATTTTCTAAGTTAATTGCTGGAAATTTTTACGATTTGTTCAAAAAAAAATTACAGACCTATTTATTTATTTATTATTTGGTTAAGGGCATGATATACCATTCAAGAGAAGGCTTTATGAAGAAATGTTAATTTATACATGTTCTTAGTATTTATAGCATGCATGCGTTGTGTCTAAATCCTCTTTGGTATGTGTAAATCATCATTTCATGATTATGTAATTCCAAATGTCTACCAGTATGAAAATTATTGATATGAAACTTTTGAAATTGAAATACAAGAACCCAATACATTTATGAAAAAGATTTGATCTATAAAAGTGGGACAGATTGGTGGCTTTTTCAAAGCTTGAATGGCATAACTTTGTATTTTACATTTTCGGTAGAATACTAACATTGACTGTGATGGAAATTATCTTATATATTTCAAATTTGAGATGAAATTATTTTCCGGAAGTTTGTAATAAAAGATCATTTGATAGTTCGGATTCATTGAAAAATGACTAAAATTCTAACTTGAACCAAGAGCTGGATTCGAGTTATGGGACAAGTTTTAGGCCCTGATAAACTCAGAAATTTTACATGTGTGTATGTTTTTATTTGCTCATGTGCATATGTCAGAGCTTTCTAGTCAATTTTTATGAATTTTGCCGCAGGAGCTGAATTGTTTGGTTCCAATATTATTGCAGGTACCCAAATTTGAGTAGTTACTCATACCCATGTAGGCCACCTTCTGGAGGACCAAGAAATCGGATTAGTTTTGACTTTTGAAGTGCTATATTCATCTTGCCATTGCTGGGTATAACCCATATTTTTGTTAAATTTTTTCTTTGCACTACTTTTTGGTGTTTCAGGTCAAAGGTTTTCGCTACCAAGATGACCCATCATCATAGGAGCCCACTAGTATTAAGGTGTTCTTAGAATTCTGGGTTTCCTATTAATATTCTTTCTTTTCCTGCTTATTAGTTACATGCTGGTGTATAATTGCTGGGTGTATTATAACCCATATAAGGAGTGGTTGCTGTCAATGTGTCTCTCTTTCTAAGTCTTAGTACATATTAAAAATAGGGTAATTCATTCCTTACCATGACTACATTGTATAATGCTTTTCCCTATCTCTTCAGCAGCCCGAGTTTGGTATTTATGAACTACAAAGAGAAGGAAGAAAAGAACATAAAAATGAATGCACAACCATAAGCATTCATTCATTTTCTTCAGTCATTAGGGAGACATTACAGATCCTTTCAGCTTGAACTCGGTTTATATCTCAAGCTTACTTGATATACGTGAGATATATGTGGCAGTTTCTCTGCAGTCCTGGCATACATGCTTTTGTCCAGGTTTCTTAATATAATCTCTGTTACCTTTCTTTTTTGTTTACTTGATTAAGGGATAATGTAAGGCATGAAATGTGAAATGACATTCATTAAGAATTATTTGGAAGCAATGATTGATTGATTGCGTCAATTTTTTTTGTTTAAGATTGATTGGTTGTAGCAAATGATATTGATGTTGTGTGTGTTTTGAGTGAAACAAATATAACAATTGCATAAGTGCATATAGTTTTTTATTTTTACAAGTCAAAGTTGATTTAGTTTTTAAACATCAATGAGTTTGCATGAAAAATGTGCGACTTAAACTGTGACTTGTATACCTTGCTGAAATGAGTAATTCATTTGTTTTATTAGGAATGATTTAGTTTATCTTTTGAACGAGTGATATGCAAAAAAAAATTGGACACATTTCTCAGGAAAATCTCTAGACATGATAATTTTGTTACTTCCCTGTAGCCTTTTGATCTTTTCTGATGAAAAGTTTGTTATATACATCTGCAAGCTAGTCTTATTTGTTTTAACAACTAATTAATCCTAATTAAGATATATATGTGTTATATATATATGCAAGCTAGTCTAACAATATTAATTATGTTAATGCTAATGTCAACAAATATGTTTTGAAGATTATGCTTTGAATTTGGGTCTCAATGTTAACAGGTATGTAAGATCGATCTTCCCTTTCTCGTACATACAGCTAGAGGCCCCAGATTTGATATTTTTTCGTTGCTTGGCCCAAATCTTTGAAAGTGTTCTAAACTCCCATTTCTCTTCTTCTACTTTCTTCAATCACAGAGGCCGGATCTCTAACCCAGGTACTGTTTCTCAAATTCCTCATTCATCTCTATGTTCCTTTAGCTTTTTGTGTAGCCCATCTCTATAGAAATGCATATATAGATATATTTGTGCTATAATTTACCTTTTTTTCTGCTTATATTTTCTGTCCTGATGAGTGCATCCCAATAAGAAGTATGTATTGATAAAAGAAGAAAAGATTGCATTTTCCACACTATCAACAATCAATGAAAGAAAGAGGGATTGCTGCTTAATGTTACAACCCAACAGCAAACCTCCTACTCGATCAGTTTCATTTTTCTAGATTTGGTTATGGATTACTAATTTTTATTGCCTTGTTTTTGCTTCATATTGGCATGAAATTAGTTGAAGAATTGTTAGCCTGGTAGGTAAGCAGTTCGAGCCCATATAATAAATTTTTAAGAAAAAGGTCTATCTCAATACTCAAAGTTTTACCATTATTGAAGGTGCAACTTAGTAGAAATTATTTAGATAGCTCACTTTGTATAGTAAAGGGTTAAACTTTACAAAGTAGACCAAAAATACAAGATTTTCTCCCTTCTAAGATTAGTAAATCAAAGAATTCAGAATGATTAGTTTTTTAGAATTTAATTTTAACATTAGGGTGGGATTCTCTTTTCTTTTTCTTTCCACTGTTGTTCTTTTGTTACTTGTTTGTGTACAAGGTACTTAGGACTTCTTTTCTTTCTTCTTTTTCTTTGATTTTAACTTTAACTATTCATGACTTCCAAATGTAAATTATAATGTGTTTTAATTTATTTTTTCCTAGATAGGTTAGAAAAATGAACTTAGTCTCAAATAAGTAGTCCTAGAATTCAAGAATTAGTCAACTTGGTTTAAAATAATTGAAGCAGAAAACTAGATAAAAATAATTTTTTATATAAAATTCAACCACACACACAAAAGCAAAGAAAATTTTGGATGTTAGAGTGGCTTAAGCCTCATTTGTAAAGGACTTCATTCCAAAGAACATATATAATACAGTATAATAGATATACCTTGTAATCTGCTTTGACAAATAATCCAAGAATACAGTTCAGGAATATATATGCCCCGGCTATGGGAAAAGGTTTCTGTTGTTGCTTGTGATGCTGTTAGTTCTATATAGGGGTCCATTCATTAGTTTCTGTTGCATGTTCATTGTCACTAGCAAAAACTCAAGCATATTACATATATTACTTCATATTACAAAAAATAACTAAGTATACATTATTCAGTAGTACTTGGATTGAGAGGGAATAAGGGGCATACCTATGCATGGCAATCTCAAAAAAAGGACATCACCAAAGCCACGATGGTAATTGTCACAGGGCTAAATTACACCACGAATTTTTGCCTCTGCAATGGCACTTGGGGCCACCAAGTCTCAGCCAACACAACAACACAATATAGAAAATGTAAAGAAGGCACACACAGTTATAGGGACAAGCCACAACCTTTGCTCATATTAAACATATTACAAAGGAACATGACAAGGAACAACCAAGGCTCACACCCTCTTCTTTGTCCCCTCTACAAAGCCCACCTTAGGATTATATAGGCCACTCTCAAAACCGCCCATAACTGCCCACTAAGATGATGGATGACACCCCCATCCACCTAGGGTCGTGCTGGCACCCTCTAAATGAGCCAGCACTATAATGCAGTTGACAAGCCCAACTGCTAGACTTGTTGGCATGTTCTGCTCATGCCACATAACCACAAGAAGTTAGATTCTGCATAGTGGAGGAAACCACCCTTAACTGCCTGTGTGTTGGTCCTCTCAAAATTGTGCCACATGTTTGGGAGGTTACTCAGCACTCCCCCACTTCCCATGATGAGTGGGAAGTGCTAGTAACTTTCCCCAACCAACCGAGCCCACTAAGCCACCACCTCTTGTAACCGCAAGCCATGACTTTGTGTTGTCCATGCTCTAGCCACATCTGAGTCAACCTTGTGAACCTAGCCCAAGTTCACCAATCTGCACCCACATACATATGTCTCTGAGTGCACGGCGTGCCAAGCCATGCACGCCCGTGCGCACGCTCGGATGCACACCAAAGTGCACGCCGGCGCACACACTAGTGCCCTTCTTCGCGCGCCATGTTTGAACCCTCATGCGCCCGTGGCTATACGCCCACCTGGACACCCATGTGCACGCCGAGCTAGACGCTCGCGCACACTAGGTTGGACGCCTACCCGCGCACCCACCTGCACGCCCGCACGCGCGCCGCTGCACCCCAGCGCGCGTGTCGGTGCCCACTTGTTTGCCCTTTAATATCTTGGAAGCTCCCCACTTGTGCAACCATCTTGGAGTGGTGCAACACGTGCCCATGCACGTTGGCTAAGCCCTCTAAGCAAGCCATGCCATAGCCCAACCAATGTGCTCAACAGACCCCCCCCTAATATAGTCTTAAGGAAATCCAGCACTCTGACAGGAGTAAACATCACCCATGCTTGAGGAGTCATAATGGCCTTTCAGACCTTTCCCGACATCCAAATTGAGTGCCGTCTGCGCCAACCAGCTTCTATGGACTCAAGGTACCTCCCATAAAGATCCTGATTCAAAACTCCAAGTTTCACTTTTCGCCATATTTACGAAAGTGCCACTGGGCACCCCCAGTGCACGCCGAGCATCCTTTTAAGCATCTTGTGTGCACGCTGAGCATCTTGTGCACGCTGAGCATCTTGTGCACGCTGACAACCCCCTGAGCAATTCTCATGGCTGTCTAACCAAAGCCAAAGTATTCCCAAGACATGACATGGCCTTGAAATGCCCATGTCTTCCCTTGGACAACCGTCAAGGGGCTAACAAACCACCCCCACCAGAAGAAGTCGACGCCCTCGTCGACTTGTCCAAGTACTCCCTTACTTGTTTCTCAAACTGCCATAATGTCACATCCCTTTCCCAACTCGCCTCTGCTTCACTGCATCCTTTCCATTGCACCAAGTAATCAGTTCTGCGATTTTTCTTACTCTGACCCTGGGTCCGGTGAGACAAAATCTTCTCTACCTCCTTGTTAAACTGCAACCGAATAACAGGTGGGGCTCTCTTAGCCTGCTGTCTTGATGTATCTGCAGTGTCCTCATGAAAAGGCTTGAGGAAACTCATATGGAAAGTAGGATGGACCTTCAGTCTCTCAGGTAACTGTAATCTGTAAGCAACATTCCCCACTTTCTTCACAACTTCAAATGGACCATCATACTTCTGAATCAGCCCTCTGTGAACAGTCTTGCTGCTTATCTTCTTCCAAATCTATGGAGTCAACTTCAACAGAACCTTGTCTCCCACTTGGAACTCTAATGGCCTTCTCCCTTTATCTGCATATTTTTTCATCCTTCTCGCAGCCTTGGCAAGGCTGTCCTGTGCCTCTTCTACCATCTCCTGCATGGAACGGGCATATCGGTATGCTGCAGGGCATCTTCCACCAGTCCTCTACACTGCCACCTCCTGTGGTGTGCGAGGTTGTTGCCCTGTTGCCAACTCAAAGGGACTCATTCCTGTTGCTGAAGACCTGTGTAAATTAGAGAATTGTGCAGTGTCTAGCAACTCCAGCCAATTTTTCTGACTTGCAGTGACATAGTGCCTCAGATATTCTTCCAATAACTGGTTCATCCTCTCAGTCCGTCCGTCAGTCTGAGGATGGTTTGCTGTGGAGAACTTCAGTTCAGAACCCATCAAGCCAAATAGCACTGTCCAGAACCTTCCCGTAAATCTGGTGTCACGATCACTAACAATATCTTCGGGCAAGCCAAAATATTTCACCACAAACTTATGAAATAAACCAGCAGCAACTTCCGCTGGGCATGCATGTGGTGCAGCAATAAAAATTGCATACTTAGAGAATCTATCTACAACCACAAAAATAGATCTCATACCTTCCACCTTAGGAAAACCAGAAATGAAGTCCATTGAAACTGATTGCCATGGACGCTCTGGTATGGGCAAGGGTTGCAGTAGCCCTGCCTCCTTCTTCCTCTCATGCTTGTCTTTCTGACAGACCAAGCAAGTCTTGACATATAACTCTATGTCATCCTCCATCTTGGGCCAGTAATATGATCTAGATATCAACGCCAGCATTCTATCCACCCCTGGATGTCCAGCCCACTGAGGATCATGCATTTCTCGCATTAGTTCCCATCTCAAACCTCCAACAAGAACATATAATCTACCTCCTCTGGCGTAGAGTAGATTATCTTCAATCCAGTACTTTCTGACTTCACCATCAGTAACCTGTTGCTTTAGTTTCTGATAGGCATTGTCAGACTGAGATTGCTCTTTGATTCTGTCAAGGAAATCAGTATACACCGTTGTCAACGACGCCACATACTTCTGCACTTCTTTCCTACTCAAGGCATCAGCAACCTGATTCTGCTTTCCAGGTCTGTGAACCCACACAAAATTGAACTCCCCAAGAAACTCTTGCCAACGAGCTTGCTTTGGAGTAAGTTTTTTCTGTGTCTTGAAGTAGGTATTGGCCACATTATCAGTCACCACTGTAAACTTAGTACCCAACAGATAGTGCTTCTATGCGTTAAGACAATGTATCACTGCAGTCATCTCCTTCTCGTGAGTTGTATACCTCTGTTCAGCATCCTTAAGCTTCCTGCTTTCAAAGGCACATGGGTGTCCTTCTTGGACTAGAACCCCACCAATTGCTCTATCAGAGGCATCAGTATGCACTTCAAATGGCTAACCAAAGTCAGGCAGTCTCAAGACCGGTTCTGTAGACACTGCCTGCTTAAGCATCTCAAAAGCATTCTGGCACTCCTCAGACCAAACCCACTGTTTGTCCTTCTTCAGTAAGTCCGTTAAAGGACTAACCTTCTTGGAATACCCCTTTATAAACTTTCTGTAGTAGTTTGCCAACCCTAGAAAAGATCTCAACTCTGTCACTTTGGTAGGTGCAGACCAATCAAGGATGGCTTTCACCTTTCTCTCATCCATTCTGACATGGCCCTTACTGATCCAATGCCCTAAAAACATCACTTTTTGGCGACAAAACTCACACTTCTCCTT